TGCAGTGAGTATCACAGCCAAATCAACACACACTAAGTCATTATAATCAATTTCTACTAGTAAGGATTCTTCATTCTCCATGGGTGTCACTGAAGAAGTTGAACATTCTTTCTCCCACCAGGGGACTATCTGAGAGCTTGTTATGCCAGCCTAAGCTTGCATCCAGGAAGAACAGGACCCTCTGGAGAGCACCAGGGGAGTTTATGTGGTCAACTGTCTACACAGCAGAACCATTTTTACTGGTCTTTGAGCCCCACAAAGGCACATTTAGGGTCCTGGATATTTTACAAGGGCCCAGGTTTCCTTCTGTACACTGGACCCTGGTTGGCCAGGCTGATTTACATGAGAAATCCCCACCCCTGTCCTGCAGCCTGCCTCACTCCTGTACTGCTGCACAGTGCGTCATGCTCAAAGCATGCTCTCATCTGCTGCACAGTCTTCTGACTTCTCAGTGGCCTCTTTCTTGTGCACTGCTGGGTACCCCCAGCTCCAACCTCCTTCTTGGAGCTCATAATTTTTTTGTTTGGTTTATCGAGACAGGGTTTCTCTGTGTAGTTTTGGTGGCTATAGGAACTCATAAAGGACTCTTCCTGCTGTTTGTAAGAGACACATGGTCGAGAGAGACAAGGGTTGATTTAGAGCGAGTCCAGGATTGGGAGCTGGGTGGGAAGACATCTAGAAGGACAGTATCCTGAGGAAGGAGAGGGTGGGGTGGCTGAAGTGAGCTCCAGGGAAGGGTAACTCTGAAAGTGATGGTAGAGGTACGACCTAAGTCCTGGGTACAGCAAGAATGCTCCAGGGCCTGTTGCTGGGATACAGCATACCAGAGAGGTTAAGCAAGAACACTCTAAAGTGATGTGGCTGGTTGAAAGACTGAAGGGGAGGATCCCTGCCCTGTCCACTCCTTTCCTGGTTCAGAGAGGGGCTCACTCTTCATTATTTCTACACAAGACACCAGTATACACACAAAAAAGAGAGAGGGAGAGAGGGGAGAGAGAGAGAATCAGAGAGAGAGAGAGAGAGAGAGAGAGAGAGAGAGAGAGAGAGAGAGAGAGAGAGAGAGCAGCTGCAGTTCAGATGAGCCAGGTGGCAGCCTCTGACTTTCCTGCCAAAGACACGATTATCACTTGATGGCTTGAAAGATCAGGCCATGGAGTGCTGAGCAGAGAAAGGACATAGTGAGCTTTGACTAATGGGGTAGTGCAGGGGTCAGTGTATCCTGTCCTATGAGCCACAAAGGCCTCATGGCAGAGCCAACCTGGGCACAGCTGGCACATGGGATGTCAGGTGTCCCTAACTATGCTGACCACGTGTTTGTGGAAGATGATTCAAATCTAGGAAAGCTTCCCCATTTATTATTCTTTCTGTATGTGACATGATGTCATACAAAGAAAAAAAGCTCATCAAATAATTCATTCTCTGTCAATTATGTTTCTTCTTTTTTTCTTTAAGAATTTTTTATTCATTTTACATACCAATCACAGTCTCATCTCTCCTCATGCTTCCCCCAGCATCCCCCCAACCTGCTTCCCTATCCTCACCTCCAAATCCCCATGGGAATTAAGCAGAACCTGGATTCAGTTGAGGCAGGACCAAGCCCCTCCCCTCTGTACCAAGGCTGTGCAAGGTTTCCCATCATAGGTAATGAGCTCCAAAAAGCCCGTGCAGGCACCAGGTATAGATACTGATCTCCCAATTACGTTTCTTCTTAGAGTAGATAAATTGCTTCTAAAATTGCTAATTTGAATAGCCTTAGTACTATTAAGGCACTTTAGATTAGGTATTTTAGATAAGCAGTGATCCAAGGTATTTTTTAAACATGTGCTCATCAATAAAACAGACTAAGGATTCATTTGTGTTTCTTCCCAGCAGTAACTAGCTTTATAAAAAGTTTCCTACCACTTTCCTTTTATGATTTCCATATTTCTAGAACTACTCTTATATTCTGCAGATAAGCCTCTCTCTAGGGGATGGGCCAATGGGGTGGAAGGGCTTTGGCTACAGATGTTTCTGCATGTGAGTGTATCTGTGAATGCACCTGTGTATGGATGTGTGCATGCTGATCAAGAAATCCCTCAGGAAAAACTGTGTGTAGGTAGGTTTCCCATCTAATAACTATGATGAGCAGAGTCCCATGGGAAAATGGTGTAGAAACTCCACAATCACATGCCTTAACCTAAAGCAGTGGTTTTCAACTTGTGGGTTGCAGCCCCTTTAACTTTGTGGTCTGCAAACCTTTACTAAGACCATTGGAAAACAAAGATATTATATTATGACTCATAACAGTAGCAAAATTACAATTAGGAAGTAACAACAAAAATGGTTGGTGTCAACACAGCATAGGCAACTATATTAAAGGTACATAGCATTAGGAAGGTTGAGAATCACTGACCTAAAGCATTGAGCATGTAAGTAAACAAGAAGGAACCAGAAGATTTCATCAATCCATTTCAATCCTGGATATCACAGAACATAACTTATAAGAAAATCACACAGAGCAGTAATTGGGCTCATGAATCACTGCTGTTCTACAACAAAAGCTCCTTAGGGTACAGGTTTCCTGTCATTGCAGTGATATGTAGGATTGGGCTACTAGATAGCAGCAGGCAAGCAGCAGACATCATAAGGAGTCAGTAGAGTAGAGTCCCTTCCCCAGGTCCAAGAAGGGGACAGCAGAGTCAAGAGGATAAAGAGTAAAGGCAGAGATGGATGCTGGTTTTCAGACTCACATAGTTAACATATTGGAGCATAGCAGGCCTTGGTGTTTACCTGTGTTAGCTACTCCCATATTGCACTCCACAGCTCCTCTGGGTTACACAGCAAGCATCCATCTTTTAGGGTGCTGAAACAACCATGAGAGTGATGTCCCTCTGCATCACTCTTTGCTAAGCCCTGGGAGCAAACTGCCAGAAATAAAAGAATACACCCAGTGTCCTGTGAGCTCTGTAGAAAGGGAAGAAATGAACAGTCTCTAGGGCACCCTGAATGCATGATTGCTTACCTGCCTCACACCAACCCTGGGAACAGTGTCTTGGTAAATTTATCTCAGAATCTGGGGTTTATATAGATGCAGGAGGTAGGTCTCTGTCCTTACTGAGGAAAAAGCACTCACGTTCAAATTTCTAAGTTGCTCGCATATGTTGCAGGGATGCTAGGGCTAAAAGGAGGGTTGATGTGAAACAGTCAAGCCAGGAACACCAAAGATGAGACACAAAGAGTTTCTTTGATCAGTAGGACACTCAGGCACTATTGTCTCCTAAAATAGCCTAGCTTCTCCAGCAGCTAATTGTGAGAGTGAGTAAAGTCTGGGTCTAAGAAAGCCTCCCATTTCGGTGTTTCAGGGAAGCCTTTCACAACTACCCAGGAGACAAGGAGAAGAGGAAGTACAGTTGCAGCTGCTTCTTAGTGACTGTGAGAAGAAAGAGAGCTGAGTATAATTAAAAGCACCTGGGACAGCTGAAATGTCAGAGGACACAGGACCATGCAGTGGCTAATGGCGACAAGACAGTCAAGGCCCACAACTCACAAAGCCCTAGTCAGGGATGGATAAAGGGCCCTGTGGTGGGAGGGGATTGAGCCACCCCTGACTAGGTGGGCAATGGGTGAACAGAGCATGATCATCTCCTTGGTGTGGGCTAGACCATGTGGACCGTGGGCCCTCCAGTGTCTCAGCCTATGCTATCCCAGAGAACTAACCCATCTCCTAACAATTACCTCAGCCATTGTCCAGATTCTGCCATGATCCTATTAAAAACAAAAACCACGAAATGACAGAGCTCAGTGGCTCTTTTAAATTTTTCGAATGTAACCTACTCTGGGGAGTCTCTCTAAATTTTCTCAGTTCCACCCCTTCCTGCAATGATTCTTTGTAGAGTTTGAATCCAGAATTGCTTACTCCTCCTGTCTTTCACCTTCACAGCTGTGAGACAGGTTTGGTACCACTACCCAGGGTTGATCTTTGATGTCCTCAGGTATCTGGGTCACCCTAGGACCTTGGTCAAGCACAGCTAGGTAGAGAAAGGTCTCCATAAGAATGAGCTTGTGAACACTGGTGGAATTCAGCCCTGTTGGGAGCACAGTCTCTCAGGAGGATCTTGCCCTGGCCTACCTGTAGCTAGAGTTTTCCTGCCTGGCCCACAGTCAGGACAAATCTCTCTCACCCGCCAGTCACACAGCCGTCAGACCTGACCAAGTAAACACAGAGACTTATATTGCTTACAAACTGTATGGCTGTGGCAGGCTTCTTGCTAATTGTTCTTGCAGCTTAAATTAATTCATTTCTATTAATCTATACCTTGCCACGTGGCATGTGGCTTACCGGTACTTTACATCTTTCTTATCCTGATGGTGGCTGGCAGCGTCTCTCCCACCCAGCTTCTTGTTCTCTCCATTTTCCTTTCTGTTAGTCCCGCCTATACTTCCTGCCTGGCCACTGCCAATCAGTGATTTATTCATTGACCAATCAGCAACACATTTGACATATAGACCATCCCACATCACCTACCCACATAGTTGCCATCATTCAGGGCTCTTCAAGACAGCACAACCAAGATTGGGGCATTTTGTTTGAAGGACATTTCTATAATTTAATAAAGTGATTTAGCTGGGCTCAAGGGCCTGCTGAGTTTGAAAAGGTCGTTTTGTTACTCCCTATGACTGAATTTGAACAGTCCAGCATTACCCAAAACTAGAGGTGTCAGCTAAGGAGCAAACCAGAGCCACAGGTTCCGCACCCCCACCGCACACACTCACTGCAGTTTTTAAAGTACTCCCTGCTCTTTTCAGCTCTAAAGTGCTTCAGGCTAAGCACCTCAGAGGACAAGCCCACAGCCACTGAGGCTGTGCAGGCCAGAATGTGTGATTGGACACATTGTAATTACGTTGAGTCTCCAGAAGACAAGCCTTCCGGGTTAAGAGTCACAGCTGTACCTCTGGCGTCAGACTGTGAGGACACAGCTTTTAAGTCTTCAGAACTCGGGTCTGATTGAAAGATTCCTGGCATGGAGTCTCGCCAGTGCTGCTGCCACATTTTCACCAGGATGCTGTGTCTAGGAGCTAATGAAGACCAGGAACAACAGCATGGTCAGTAAAATGGTTCTGACTCTTCTTGGGCGAAGTTCGGGAAGCAAATTTGGTGGAAAGGCCAGTGGCCCGGCACTTCGATTACCCAGCTCTGCCTGTGGGCCCTCTCCAGGCTTTCCAATGATCCATGGGCCACGATGCTCAGACCTTTATCTTTATGTTTTTCTCTCTTGCAGGTGAGATTGCAATGGTCCTGAAGGCTGGAGAGGAAGAAGGCAAGAAAGGGCTTGTACAGAGCGAGCTTGCTCAGGGTGAGCTTGGTCAGGGCGAACTTGCTCTGGGCGAACTTGCCCCAAGCAAGCCTGCTCAAGAAGAACTTGCTCAATCCGGTCTTACTCAGGAAGCCACAGGAGTGGTAGAGGAGGGAGAAAACGAAGAAGAAGAAATGGAAGGAGGTCATGCTGGAGATGGTAGTTCTGGCCCCATGGACAAGGGGATCCAGGCAGAAGGTGGTCATGGCAGCAGTATTGAACAGCAGCCTCAGCAAGAGGCCGCAATGCCTGAGGGCACCAACAGTCTCCAGGCTGGTGACAACCTGTCTTTCCAGAGCCAAACCAGATTCACTGAGTCTCAGCTGCAGGACCTGGAGCGTCTTTTCGAAGAGAATCGCTTTCCCAGCTTTCAAGTAAGGTAAGCAGAAGGCCCTGCTAGGCGCCTGGTTTTCAGGCTGTGCATCAGGCTGTTCTTTGGTGCTCCCTGATCCCTGATTTCCTCTACAAACAAAACCACCATGTCTGGACCCTCCAGCAGAAAATGGATTCTGGAGTAAGCAGATGTGCCCTAGTCCAACTGGAAAGATTGTGTTTTGTTGCCTGTTTAAGTGGCACGTGAGTGGGAAATTTAGACAATGCTTGTTCTAAATAAGTCTCTGTAAGTATGAGTGAGAAGCCTGAGTTGTGGCTCGGAAAATGCAGGAGGGATTCCACCTCAGATTAAAATTTGACTAACACATTTCATCGTGGGGGCTCTGTTAATGAAGGTTTACATGTTAAGTACATAGAAGACATACCTGTGTTTGTGGGATTACCCTTAATTTTGGTCCCTGAAAGAAACCTATTACTAAAGTAAGTCTCAAAGTAGGTGTGAGGAACACTGTGTGTGTGTCTCTGTGTTTGTGTGCTCGTGTGTGTGTGTGTGTGTGTGTGTGTGTGTGTGTGTGAGAGAGAGAGAGAGAGAGAGAGAGAGAGAGAGAGAGAGAGAGAGAGAGAGAGAGAGAGAGAGAGAGAGAGTATGTATGTACATGTGTGTACACAGAAGTGTGGACACAAACATTTAAAAGCAATCAGGACATGTCCTTATACAGGTTATTCCCACCAAAAAGCCTAAATGTTGGAATCTTTTCACTTCAGGAAGGCTCTTGCAAGATCTATGGATGTGCAGGAAGAAGATGTGCAGGTCAGTATTTTTAAAAAATTAATGTTTTGGAAGGGCTCAAAATCTTGTGATGGTGCTGTCTAGAAGAGAGGTGTAGCAGCAAATTGGGACCTGATGTTGCATCCCAAGGATGCCAAACCAGTCCACAGACAGGCTAGTCTCAAGATGACAAAAGGCCTCCATTTTCTCAGGCAGGAAATGCCAACCTGGACACCTGAAACCTAAGATGCCAAGGTGCTTTGTCTGACCCTCAGTGAACATAGTGTGTTCTCCATGACCTTCTGAAGGCGGTGTAGCCCGCATGCCTCAATTAAGTGAAGAGACCATGTTCTTGCCCACCTTCAACTCTTTCACTCTGCATGTCTCAGAAAACCTTTTCTCAGACTTCTTGATCTAGTCTGTAAATGTCCCATGCCTGGCTTAGTTCTGCATCAATACTGGGACCAGGAACCTCAAAAGGCCCATAGCCCTTTTACATGTCTTCTGTTGGTAATGTATGAGAACTCTGCTGAACAATACAATCAGCCCTGGCTTTTCCAAACCACATGCCCACAAGGGAAAGGCCTATACACAGTATGCTTGGAGGCTAGGGAGGAAGCATAGAGCAGGAAGAAGTGCCCTTTGTCTCATAAAATATGCATTCTGGATACTCACAAAAGGCTATCACCATGGAGCCTTTCACAGACTGCTTTGGGCCTTGGGATAGTTCTCCTGGGTTCCAAGGAATTGTTTTTGATATTTTTCAACACACAGTAAGGACCAGGAACAACCCATGAGCTAGATCTGCATCCTTTCCTGAAAGAATGCATTAAAAATATCAATTGATGGAGAGAATAGACAATATTCTGGGTCTATTCTATAGCAGAAGGACTGGGTGTGGGGGTACATATCCTCAGGGGCTCCATGGGGGTGTTTTGACTGTTTCAATGAGAATGAAACCTGTTGCTTCCAGCATTCTGAACAATCAGTACACACTTGAGGTACGTCTTCAACTGTTCTTGGGGTTAGGTCGATAAACAAACAGTTTCTGGGCAATCAGAAATGTGGTGCTTTGCTAGGGGAGTAGCTCTGTCCTGGAGCACATACCTAGCACACACTGGCCCAGGGATGGGTTCCATATACGTTCTAAAATGTTAGTACAATTGAGCCAGTATACATGGTTAAAGGATGTGTTCTTCAGTGGTGGTACAGTTCAGTATACTAAAACAACCCTTTTTTCTGCTTGTAGGATTGGTTTAGGACCAGGAGAGCCATTTTCAGGAGAAGCAATGGAATAGTGGTGCTGATCGATGCACCACCTGGTCCCCAGAACAACGATTCCTGAAGATTGTAGAGCAGTACTGAGTGCCAACTCTGTCCAGAGCCAGATGTCATGGAACCTGGCCCTGCCCCCAATATCTGGACCACCCATGCTGGCCATGACATCATTTCTTTCCTGCAATTATATCAGCCATAAAGAGGTGGATTCTAAGTATGTTGGTTCCATTGTTTTTCAGGTTACTAAAATGTGGGTATAAGTATTTGAACCATAGTAGCCTATTCCAGAAATGGCATTTATGGCAGGAGGTGACACTGGCAAGCTGTGGTCACTGTGCCTTGCCAAGTGAGGAAGATTTCCAGGTGCTATGCTGCTTCATGCTGACCCCACATGATTCTCTGTACCCTCATCATGGGCTTGTCAACTCACTCCACCTCTGTGTAACAATTATTTATAATGCCAGCTGGGGGAAGTCTCCAGCAGAGGACACTGTGTTTCTAGTCATGGCTGTTCCCACCCATACTCCAGTATGTCCCACCCTAGACCTAATCCCCAAGGGGTCATGGTGGGGAATCACACAGGGAGAAGCAGAGATAGAAAGAGAGATGGGTTCACTGGGGACCTGGAGGCATCAGGAGGAAGGGTCCTGAGGCTCCACATTGGATGTTCCAGCAAGAGATGACTTTCTTGAGTTCTATACAGGCCCTTGCCACCAATCTTCCAGGTACAGAGTGTTATCTGGTGACATGCTCCAGTTCCTGGCTGCCACATCCAGTGGCTTCAGTCTTCTCACTGGGGCTGATGTTCCATGAACGGAACCTGTGGGTGGCGTCCTGTGCCTCAGCTGACTGTGGATTCTCATTCTGTGCTCCCCGGTTATGTGGAACTGAGATGTGCTGTTGACACTCTTCCTGGGGAGACGGGAGAAACTGGGAACAAACATCTTCTAAGCCCAGTTGGAGCTATCAAGCCTTTTACTTCCTGTGTCTTAAGCATCTCTCCCTTATTATGAAATGTTTCACCTCCATTTGGAATGTCTTTTGTCTTCAGGAGCTTTCCTCCAAATGGAAGGTCTTATCTTGGAGGAAACTGCTACACAAAATGTGTATCCAGCTACAGGGCCTGATCCTGTGGAGGCATGCTCTAGGTGACCACATGTCTGGCTCAGGTTCTGACTGGACTTCCTATCAATTAGAAGAGGCTCCACTTTTCAGTAGCTTACACTGCTGTGCAAGGGACCGTGTGTCTGTGAGAGGGCACCTTCATAAAACCTGGACAGAGACTGTGGGGAGACCAGGTAAATGTGTGAAAAGGGATCTGTGTTTCTATTGGCTGACTACACATGACTGGCTGGGATCTGTGGCTAAGAGTAAGCGTTTTCATTGGCACTGTAATTGAAAAGACTTTCTGCAGTTCATTGACAACATTTTGTAAACATCCCTTCACTCAGATATCACAAATCCATATACAACTTCCTCCTGAAATCACGGGGCTCGGTTTCTATGACTTCCCTTGTGTAGTAGGACTTATTAAAGTCAGAGCCCCCACTTCAGGGACTCTGAAATCCCTGTCTTACTGCTGGGTTTACCACGCTCTTAAAGAACTTTCCACCCACAGAGAGCACTGTGAGCATAACCACCATGCAGTGTCAATCCTTACCTTCTGGATCTTTCTCTCAAGCCCTTTCAGTCCATAGTAGCAGTGCTCTATGTCTCCCCCTTCAGTGAAAGGCTGGATATTTCCTCCAAAACAATGAGCTGTTTGATTTAGCTAATATCCAGCATTATTTGACATGGTTTTCCTATTTCTAGGCATGGTGTTCACATTTATAGGTTGAGCTGTTTGCCCTACAACATAATTAGAATTCCTGGGGGCTGTCCAGCCATGCTGCAGCTCTATGCACAGCTAAGCCTTCAGTTCTAATACTTCTTTTTTATAATTAGTTAATTAACCAAAAGCCAGACATTTCTATGTACTCCTGTGACCAGTGGGAGGGTATACCACAAGGAAGAACAGCACTAGTCATTCTGATATACACAGTATGGGGCATGTGATGTTCAGGCTTTCCTGGGATACATGAGAGACTATCACAAACACAAAACGAAGAAACAAACCAAAGGAAAATACTGCATTTTCATTCTCAGGTCCTATTAACACCCCACTGTAGCTGGAGTTTTCTCTCAGGGGCCCACCAAGCCCAGGCAGCCCGGCAGCCCACTTATAAAATAAACACACAGATGCTTATGTTATTTAAATTGTTTGGCCTAATGTCTCAGGCTTCTTGTTATCTAGTTCTTATATCTCAAACTAACCCATATCTATTTGTCTATAAGTTGCCACATGGCTCGTGGCTTAGAGGTACCTTACATCTCGCTTTCTATGGCGGCAGCTGGTAGCGTCTCTCTGCCTCAGCCTTCCTGTTCCCAGAATTCTCCTCTCTCCTTGTCCCGCCTTTACTTCTTGCCTGACTACTGGCCAATCAGTGTTTTATTTATTAATCAATCAGAGCAACACATTTAACATACAGAACATCCCACAGCACCCCACCCCAACCCCAGCACTCTGAAACACTGTCAATGAGATCAGTCCCTCTACCACAAGAAGTGCACACAACCTCTCCCCTGTTTATGGCCTTCCAGAGTCTGTGGCACTTACTCTGCCCAGGTTATTGTACGAATGCACCCTCAGCCCTCAGCAGTTTGTACTGCAACACAAAGGGTGCAGTTGGTCCAGTGTCTGATCTTGCAGAGCTGAGAAGCGCTGGACAGGACCTTCTATAAGCATTCTAATGCAGATTCTTCACTGGCTGTCTGGAGTCTGTTAACTTTTCCAAGGGTTGCAATGGCTTTTTTGCAGTGCTGCACAACACACTGTAAACATGGGACTAAAATGCCACTGCTGAAGGTGGAGGTCCGGGATTGGCCTCTGCTTTCAGAGTTCTTGAAGACTCTTGAAGCAGACACATGCAGAGCTGACCCTGTCCACTCAATGTTCATCTCATGTGTCATAGAGACTCGGAAATGTGGGGTCTGGAATGTTGAGAAATTCTCCAGTCTTCACCCAAGCCTCATGTGCTCATTGTGAGTTTTTCCCACCTTCCCCAAGAGATATGGTCCACACGTTTCCACAAGGCCTCAGAATTATTGTTTTTGTTTCTTACTCACTGCAGATTTGTTCCCATAGTTGACCCCCACCCATTTCCTAGGAAGAGAATTCCCCAAGGCCAGGGGACTCAGTTGAGATGCCACTTGGAAGGTTCCTTCTACACTCTCCTTCCCAAGGGCCACACCTTCCCTGTAAACACATCCTGCTCACTGAAGCTCCAAACTGCTTTGAGGGGGAGACACTGCCAGCCACAGCCATGACAAGCAGCATGTTAAGATGCCGGTAAGCCACGAGCCATGTGGCAAGGTATTGATTTATAGAAATGGGTTAATTTAAGATATAAGAACAGTTAGCAAGAAGCCTGCCATGGCCAAATAGTTTAAATAATATAAGCATCTGTGTGTTTATTTTATACGTGGGCTGTCGGACTGCCGAGGCTTGGCAGGATCCAGAGAGAAAACTCCAGCTACACAGCTGTTGGTTTTGGACCTCAGGGGTTCAGTCCATTGCAACTGTCAATCATCCCAGGAAGCCAGGAAGGAAGGCTTCTGATTGGTTAAAATAACCTGGATGTTAGGTCGTTAAGGTATAGAAGAGAAAAGGCCTTCCTGGTGGAGTAGTTCTCCTGCCAGAAGTATATGGGTCTCCCCCTCAGAATGTGAAGAGGCACAGAGGAAGGCAAACCTCAAGCGACTTTGACAGCATTCCTGTCATGGAGCATGGAAACATCAAACATCTGCCTCTTGAGGGACCTGACCAGGAAAAATGGAAAGGTCAGTGCATGTTAGGAGTGGTGGGTTGGCCATGTCCATGAGGAGATGTTGTTCCTCAGAGGTGACTGGAGAGGCATGGGGAACTGACGGCTTCACCTGCCTTGATGTCATAGCGACTTTGCACCACACTGGTCCCTGTCGCCTCTTCTTTCTGTTTTCTACTTTCAGGTGCTGAGACACCGATGCTCTCCCCATATGAAGAGGGAAGAAATGAGGAAGAGGGTGGAAGGGACCACCCTGCGTCGGGACCTCAACAGCAGAATGGAGAGGAGTAGAACAGAAAAACAGGGAAGACTGGAGAAGGTCCTGCTGTTGCTGTACCTTCACGCCTCATGGATGACCGTGAGCGTGCCAGTCCCAATAGCCAGGAGAATGAGCGTCCACCTCAGAAGCCAGTTCCTGAGAGCATAGGGGGTACCAAGGCTGTGCAGCTTTGTGATCTGTGTACAGCATATGTCACATCTGGTGCCCTGAGAACAGTGTATGTCAGTAACAGTGCCTGGTGTACAGCCTGTTAGTGTGTGCCAGGTACAGCCTATGTCTGTGACTGTGTCCCAAGTACAGCCTGTGCCTGTTACTGTCCCATATACAGTCTATGCCTGTTAATGTGCCCCAGTTACTGCCTATGCCAATCACTGAGCCTCGGGTACAGCATATGCCTGTTACTGTGCTCCAGGTACTGCCTGTGTCAATCACTGAGGTCCAGATACAGCCTATGCCTGTTTCTGTTCCCCATGTCTGTCCCGTGCCAGTTACTATGTCCAATGTACAGCCTATGCCAGTTAAGAGATCTAGCACACCACCTATGGCAGTTCCTATTGCACACCCTATGCTATTCCAGGTGGGTGGTGTACAGCAATACCAATTACAGTACCCAGTATTCAGTCTATGCCAAGTACAGTTTCAGCCAATGAGCAGCCTGTGCCATTTCAGGACCCCATGTCCAGCCTGTGTCAGTTCGGACGCCGAGTGCACTGTCCATTCCAGTTACCATGTCCAAAATACAGCCTGTGCCAGCGCTGGGGTCCTGCAGCTGCCTCTGTGACAGGGCTACAGCTGCAGGAGTTGAAACACCTTTTCCAGAGAAAACACGATCTAGTGCTGAGGAAGGGTAAGCCTCTTGTGTGGCTTCAAGTCCCTTCATAGGGAACAAACTGGTACAGAGAGGCCTCTGGCTCTCTTTCAGCTGTGCTTCTTGTCTTCATTTACTGAAAAGTTCAGATTACATTTTGAAGTTTTATTTTGTCTTGGCATGAGTGTGTAGGGGGACGAGAGGAGCTGTGTCTCACATTTGGAGGTCAGAGGACAGCTGGAAGGACTTGGTTCTCTCCTTCCAGGATGTGGGTTCTGGGTTCAAAATCATCTCCTCAGGCTGGCTGGCAGGCATGTTCATCTGCGGCGCCATTTTGTCTGCCTCCATTTTGCCCTCCAGAACTAAAGCCACCCACACATTCCAGCCTGCAAGACCCCTGCTTTGCTATCCTAGGCTTCCAAAAGGGAGTGGGAGATCATAAACTGGGAGTGGAGCTATTCTCATGTAGTATTTAGGTGGAACAAGAAGAATAGTTTGGCCGGGCAAGCCTGAGGTGTGGTTGGGATAATTCAGGTACCACACTGCCTTTGTTTATAATGTTGTTACATGTGTATACCCCTCCCTCCTCCTCTCCTCACATGGCTCAGTCTGGTCACATCCACTCTGGACTCTCCCAGATGTCCCCGCCTCTGGTTATGCTCTCCCACAAATCTATTATAGAGTTATTTTCCATTATACTAGGTGCAAGTCATGTTCCTACTTCTTTACGTCCTTTTGTACATTCAGTATTTATATCAATATCTATATACATGTTCATTCCAGTCCTTTAATGCTGGCATCCTTTGGGTAGGTTTCTCTTTGGAGTAGTCCTGGGGTTATGACCAAAAAAGGATTCAAATTAGAGTAACTAGGGGTTCCATGATCCTAAACTGTTTCAAATACTGCAAAGTAAGCATAGATTCTATCATTACAGAAGTAATATGGGTGTGTGGATAGTGGGCAGGCAGAACCCAGCACTGATAATGTTGTTTTAAGCTTGGTTAAACAGAGACTGATGGGAATGGGAAAGCATAGAGTCCAAATGCCCGGTCCTTCTGCTGTTTTGAAGCATCTGGTGAGGCCACACATCTTTGTAATTATCTGAAGCACGCTGGTGCATCTGCCTGAAAATCCTGCTGACTTCCTCCATAGTGAATTACTGTGGTGAGGGGGGAAGGGCATGCAACGTTTGGACATTTGTCCAGGGACTGTTCTGCATTACTGGGGTAGACACCGGGCCTCGACATTCTAGGCAAGCACTGGACTCTGTTCCAGCCCCTCAGCCCCACACAGCATTAGAGTAGTGAGACAGCAGGTTCTTCTGTGCAATCTAAATTATAGAGAGCAGCTAATGTCACACGAGGTTTTTTCTGATTATATCCTGATTACCCTACTGAACAAATCCCTCTTCCCTCTCATTGCAGAGATGGTTCAGGAAGAGGAGAGAACAGATCTGGTGAGGGAAGAATCTGCCAGGACTTAGCAGTGCTGCTCCTGGGACCCGCTCCACCTCAATCTAAAGATTGTGCAGGAGCCCCATTGTGCCCGCCTTGACCAGGATCCACTTGCAGATGCATTTTTGCCTTCCGCCCACGTGTTGTTACACCTTTCTTCCCTAAGATCCTGTATTTGAAATAAATAGATTCTCAGTTTGCTTTCTTCCTATGTCTTCTGCATTAGTATGTTATATATAACAGTTATCAAGGAAATGCCATTTAAAGAAAATGACAAGGTCTCCTTCTGTGGGGCGACATCACTGAGTGAGCATCAGTAGCCTTTTATGTCATGGGAGTTTGTCAAATGGTGTTTACATTGACCCATAAATTCTCCTGTCCTCCATCATAGTGTTTTCATCCTCAACCTGACCATGTTGTACCACACATGGTCAAGAGGGACATTGAAAATCTCTAGGGAGATGGTGTTTATCCAGACAGAGCTGGTTCTGACCATACCTGGGATTTCATACCAACCATAGAATCTGAGAGAACCATTTTTGTTTGTTTCTTTTTAAATTGTTTTGGTTTTTGTTTTCTTTTTCAGTGGACAAAGTGACAGTTGTGGTGACAAGGTTTTTTGTCAAGTAGACAGAAGCTAGATGCATCTGGAAAGAGGGAATCTCCATTGGAAAATGGCTCCATCCTGTAAGCCAGTCTGAGGAGCGTTTTCTTGATTAGTGATTGATATGGAGAGGTCCCTCCCACTGTGGGTGGAGCCACCGCAGAGCAGGTCATCCTGGAGTGTATTAGAAAGCAGGCTGAAGAAGCCAAGAGGAGCAAGCCGGTAAGCAACATCTCTACACAGCCTCTGCCTCAGTTCCTGCCTCCAGTTCCTACCCTGACTTCTCTCAATGATAGACTGTGAGCTCTGAGAGGAAATAAACCCTTTCCTCCCCAGTTTGCTTTAGTTCCTGTGTTTTATTGCAGAAGCAGAAAGCCAACTAAAGTCAACTCAAATAAAGAAATGGACTGATAGAACCTCTCTTCCCTCACTTTCTCCCAAGTCTCCTCCTTCCAACTCCTCCCATGCCTTCCCCCACTACTCTCACATTAATTGTCTCTTTTCAATTATTCTTCCTACGTATAGACATATGTGTATGAATAAGTGTGTGAATATGGCCTGCTGAGTCTGCTTTAGTTGTTTGTGTGTATATGATTTCAGGGCTTCTCCTTTGCCTTGACTAACCACTTAGAGGTCTCATCCCTGGGAGAGGTCAATTCCCCCTCCGTCTGTAGTCACTAGCTGCCCACAGTTCTCTGTCTAGGAACAAAATAAAGCCCAGGCCTAAAATCCCAGTACAAAGTGTCTCTCCTTCCATGGAGACTTTGCCATCTCTCTATTATCTTTTCTGTTGATATGGCCAATGTTCAGATCTCATTTATGCAGCCAGTTCTGTGAGTGACTGTTTCACAGCAGACATCCTGGTATTGAGGCTCTTAAAACCTTTCAGCTGTGCTCTTCCCCTGCGTTTCCTGAGTCATAGATGCAGGAACTGTGATGTAGATGTAGGCATTGGGGCTGTGCTCCCCATGAAGCATTGTTCTCTGCATCCTGTCCAGCTCTGGCTTCTCTGATGCTCTCCGTTTGCTGTAGAGAGAGGGTTCTCTGATTAGGGGTTGTAGTCACACTTATATAAGGATAAGATTAATAATGCGGTTTGAATTATTCCAGTCTATCATCATGGCAACTGTAAATTCTCTTCTAAGATATATAACCTCACTAGCCCTGGGATGCTGTCTAGGTTTCTAGGATGATGGATGATTTCCCTCCTGTGGAGTGGGTCTTAAAGGTCCAAATAGACAGCTGTTGGTTACCACCAACATGGGAGTGTCACTTGTGACACCTCTCTGGATATTTGGACAACAGCCAACAGTCAGGGTGAACCAGCTCACAGAAGCTAAGGAAGAGGAGCATCAAGAGCCTAGTGACTACAAGACTGATGAATTCCTAGCTCTTCCACGATCAACAAAGGGCGGGCAAGAGACCGCAAGCAGGCTACTACACTGTGATACAATTCTTCAGTATACTGTCCCTGGGAACTTCAGGAACTTGTTGCTCAGAAATCCTTGCTGAAGCAACCAAGCTGTCTATATATCCCAGCTTAAATCATCAAGTTCACTCTGCCTTTAGGCACACCATAGCTACTTCTTATATTTTTCAGGACAAAGTAAGTTTACAAGCTAAAGACTAAATCTGAATTAACAAAGAGAGCCACCTCTTCTAAATGCTGTTGGGGCTTTTTCCTAACCTGAAAACTCAGCATCACTTCACACTGGAACCTTAAAAACTCTTCTTGGCTGGTGAGACAGCTGACTCAGTGGTTAAGGCACTTCCAGTCCCAGCTCCAGTGAGAAAGAACAGACTGCACGTTGTCCTCTCACTCCCATACAAGCATTGCAGTGTCCTCCACCAAAACACTAAATGCAAGAATGAAAATACATTTAGAAATCAGGACTGGCCGGAAGTGGTAGTACACACCTTTAATCCCATCACTTGGGAGGCAAATGCAGGTGGAAATCTGTGAGTTCATGGCCAGCCTGGTCTATTGTGAGTTCTACAGGACTGCACAGAGAAACTATGTCTCAAAAAAAAAAAACAAAATAAAATAAAATAAAAAAGTAAAAACTGGAGAGATGGCTGAGCAGTTAAGAGTGCATGCTGCTCTTCCAAAGGCTGCAAGTACAGCTGCCAGTATACAACTGCCTATGCTCCACAGAATCCATGCTCTCTGGTCTCTGCAGAGACTAAGGGGATACGAATTGGAAAGGAAGAAGTCAAGCTTTCCCTTTTTGAAGATGACATGATAGTATATTTGTGCGACCCCAAAGTTTCAACCAAGGAA